TTCCACACAATTCAATTGAACTCTTTGGTGAAAAACTAAAAACTAAAAATATTTTCATGAATTGAAATACAGCTAAACTACATTTGTCTGTTTAGTTGAGCAGTCTGACATATCAATTTCTTCCTCAACCAATGGCATAAGTTTGAGGAAAAGAAACTTGTTTGGAAAAAGTTATTTTTCCAAATCCATTTTGTTGTTGCATGTGGTGCAGAAATTATACACTTCACCTTTAAGCTTTTGCATTGCATAAAAATTGAATAATCATAAACAATTTAGGGGACAAAGTTAGAGGAATGAGAGCTGGCAATAACTGATGGATGAAAAATAAAAAAAGGGGAGAAAAATGTGCGTGAGACACCTCAATCAGTAAAGGGCGACCCCTGTGAGAAAAACACAGCAGGCCCAAATGGAAAACCTCTGGAGAAGCAGCCCAGAACCTGAAAGGCAAGACAATTCATTTCACACTGGCTTACTCCAGATGTAGCACACTGCTGATTTACACACACACACACACACACACACACACACACACTAGGACACACACTGTTTCAGATGCTGCTTCCAAAACCAAAGAGGCAAAACAGAGCACATGGGCTCCCACATTGGCTGTCAATACGGTTTACCGCATTTCCATCAGAAAGTGGGAGCAACAGCAACAGATGAGCAGCCAATATAGGCTCATTAATCATTGTGATTGGTGAATGAACTCTGTCTCTATGCCATCAGAGCAGGAGGGATAAACACCTGTGTGGATGAGCAAGCGGCTGGCCAGATGTTGAAGGAGTTTAAGGAGAGATGTTGAACAGAACGTGAAGAGCACATCTGTATATGGAGAGAGAACGAGACAGATGACAGTACTCACAGATGATGTGTTTCCATGAACTTCAAAACCTTTTGATCAAGTATTTTGCTTTTATGCTTGAAATAAATTTAGTAGACAAACGTAAATTCAAATTGTGCCTACATATTTTTATAGATATATATTACTGCACAAAACTTCAATAGATGCCATTTAATCAGATTAAATAATAATAAAAATAAAAGATTATAAATATTAAAATTGGAATAGCACTTTTCACATATACAATACAACTCAAATGGCTTCAAAGATCAGAAAAAAAAACATTTTTACAAAATAAATGAGAATAATTAAAATAAAAATATATAAATGCAAATCGTGCTTTTTTAATATAATAAAAGTAATATATATAAATATATATAAAACTATAATAAAATAGTTTTTCTTTATTACTTCACTACACAATTCCCATACTTCCATTTATGTTCTTCCTTAGATATAATAATAATAATAATAATATAATAACAATAACAATAAAATTATTTGGATAGCACTTTTCTTGCATAGAATGCAGGTTAAAGAGCTTCACAGATTAGAATATAAAAACACTAACAAATCTTAAAAAATACAGTGAGCCTATGACTTCATTATTGACTTTATTACTACATTCTACATTTGATAAGATATTATAATATGGTTTATCAAACATTTGACTAGTAGTGTGAATGATCTGCTGAGAGAGTAATGGAAAAATTACGAAAGAAGTGAGCCCGGGAGAGATAAAAAAAAAAAAAATTATGGTATTAAACTGACCTTCAGAAAGACAAACTTCTCTTTGATCTGGGAGCAAGAGACAGACTTTAACTCCAGTTCAAAGCTTGCCTACTCTAGACTCAATAAACCCTTTAGGAAAAAAAAAGTCTTGTTTTGCTAACGTTCCTCCATCTGGATGGAGGCCTACTCATTTTATTTCTGTTTGTTGAAACACAAGCGTCATCATGTATTAGCCCCACACAAACACGCTTTGAAGTTTGTAAGAGGTCACCTGCCCAAACAAAACCATGAGTCCCTGATCAAAACACATAGAGAGACAACAGCAAAACCAATAGCAGAACTTCCACCTGCACGATTCACCTGGAGCCTTTTTGATGTGTGTGTGTGTGTGTGTGTGATGTGTCGACCTGCACCTGCATTTGTGCAAGCGGCACTGTCAGTGTCAGACTGAGAGCTCTGATTGAGCCTCGGCCAACCCGATGAATCCCTTTCAAATCAACATGTAGCCTTCCAGATGGGCACCCAGTCACTATGTTATAACGGGCCATGATCCAGGCTTAAAGGTAGGGATGTTCAATTAAACTTCAAAACTTCAATTCCATTCTTAAGTCCAAAAAACTAAGTAAGTATAAGAAAATTATTATTTTTTTAAAACAAAAAAATTTTATGATTCTAAACTTTTGACCTATGGGGTGAAAACTTATTTCTTTATGCATTCATTACTTCATGCAATAATTCACACTACCACTCAGAGGTCTGGAATCATTAAGATTTTATTTATGTTTTTGAAAGCAGCTCACCAAGGCAGCATTTATTTAATCAAATATACAGTGAAGACAGTAATATTCTGAAATATTATTACACTTTCAAATAACTGATTATACATTAAAATACAATATATTCCTGTAATGCTGTAAAGCTGAATTTTTCATTACTCCAGTCTTCAGTGTCACATGATCCTTCAGAAATCCTATTAATACGCTGTATTAAGATGTAAGATTTTTTTATTAAAATATCCAAAAACCACTAGAACAGTGTTATATATTTTGCTGACTTGTGTACTTACATTATCCCAAATGTTTCGAAGAATGTTTAAATCCAGAGAAATAAGCAATTTAAACTAGTGACAGAGAGCGTGTCTATAGTGTCATTGTGTCGCCTGACAATGACGTCATAACCCCTCGATTTCCGTTTTGTAGAAAACATGGAAACACCAAAGATGCTTTAATATGTTGTGCATTTTATTAGACAGGTGACGACCGCACAGAGTAGCAATGTAACAGAACTTTCAAACGTATCTAGTTGGATAAAACAGCGCTGCTTTACCCCACATACGCACGACCAGAAGGAGCAGAAGCGCTAAAGTGTGGCATAATAAAAGCTCCGCTGCTTTCAAGACGTGTGTCACTGTTGTCTCTCATTAGCAATTGCTTCAGCGGCCTCGTTTCACTTCGACGCCTTTCCGCCTCACTCTGCTTCATACTACGATGTTAATAAATCTTTAATACATTAGTTCATCCATGAACATGATTTCTGCCTGAGTCCCATCGGATTGCGTCGGCTGTGGGGATGAAGACGACAACTCCCATGATTCCACACTCACGGCATCATCAAACTACGCCTTTGTTTGTTTTGAATACGCGCCCTCTAGCGGTGAAAACATATTGTACCTTTAAGAAACACTTCTTATTATTAATGTTCAAAACAGCTGTGCTGCTTAATATATTTTTGTGGAAACAATGATACATTTTTTTTCAGGATTCTTTGAAGAGAAAGTTCAAAAGAACAGCATTTATATCTAAAAGTATTTACTGTCACTTTTGTAATGATCTTTAAAAAGTTTCTGGTTAAATACTTGAATTTTGTTTAAAAAAAAACAAACAAACACATCATTACAAATATAAGTTTGTGTTTATGTATATTGTTAGTAAGAAATTTTGAACGCCTTGACAGAATTCATGCTTATATACAATTAAACAAAATATAGATACAACAGGTTCACACAAATGACTAAAACTTAGTAAAAAAAAAATACACCACCATCGGAAAAGAAACGTTTGTCAGATTTATTTTTTTTAAAGAAATTAATACTTTTTATTACAGCAAAGATACATTTTATTGATCAAAATTGGTACAATTCTATTTCAAATTAATGCTGTCCATTTAAACTTTATATTCATCAGAAAGAAAGAAAGAAAGAAAGAAAGAAAGAAAGAAAGAAAGGTTTAAATATCACAGTAAAACCTCTAAACGTTAGTGGTTCTCAATTGGAAAATATCAATTAGCCGAATTGTTTTCCAATTTAATAATAACAAATATTTCTTGAGCATTTCTTGAGTTCTGTTTAAAAGGGAATTACATTATAAAGTTAGAAGAAAGAGTGCAGAACAACTAACAACTAAAAAAAAATATATAAGACCGTTGTAGACTTTTTAAGATTTTGGTTAATGCATAATTCTGTTTATTGCATAGTTTTGATGATTATTATTTTTATTTTCCACATTTTAGAAAAGTAACAAAGAAAGGGTAGGTGTGTCGAACTTTCTGCCAGTTATTATGTCTCTGAAGCACATATGACTGTATTTGGAGGATATTGTAAGGCTAGAATATGACATCTGGAAGTGAAGGAGAAGTACTGGGTTTTGATGAACAGGCCACCAGAGCACTCACCCCAGTGCACTCACCATGCATTCTTCCTACTGATGAAAGCTCTGACTATAAATTGCCCAGAGGAAATTGGACAAAAGGCCAAGGATTTCATGCTCTTTTAACACGGAATTGCTGGAGATCAGTTCCTCATGAGAATATCATGTGTTAATGTTCCTGGCTTCAGCAATTTATCTGTTATTTGTAAATCAAACACGACCCACAAATAACAAATACAGCGTTGAAGCCAGAATCCTAATGTTGACTATTAAGGCTCAGCAATTGGTGTCTTGACTTGATGCCCAAAAGCAAAAACAAATTGCTTAAAATACCATAATTCAATAAATGAAGCCAGTAAGTTAAATGTTCCACAGCTGCTACAAAGCTATTTGGCTTTGAGTTTAATTTATTGCAGGTTCCTGAAGAATTATTTTCATGATACAATAGGCTATATGATTTAGAAAAATATTCATATTATATTGTTGAATATTGTCCAACTTTTTTGACAATATTCAATATATCTCAATATTTATAACTTGATATATTTATGACTGCACTGAAATGAACCAAAATGGTGATTTTTTTGCAATCAGAGGAATTATAATTCCAATCTAACAGTCATTGTTTCTCAGTAATATCACTGCAAATATATGAGGAACATTCTATCATTCATCCCTAACAGGCACACCACTTTAAGAGAGTCTGCCAGGAAAATAAAAATGGGGTTATGTTGCTCTGATTTGAGATGATTCTTCATTGCTGTATTGCATCTTGTAAAAGTCTACAGAATAAGCTTCCTCACCTGTTTTAGGGCCTCTTGTTTGCTCTTGTTCAGTTCCTCATATTTGAGCTTCCATTGGCTCAGCTCCACCTCCAGCTTCTCGATGTTCTTAATGAGTGCATGCTTATCCCTGACAGAGACACATGACATGTTTGACATGCACAACATAAATCATCATCGAGTCCAAACAGGCCGTTCTCAAAAGGTCTAGTCTACTGAGATGCCTCCAGTGGGTGATTTCTATAAAGTCAACATAGGTGTATCCTTCACTGTATATCATAGGTGGTGAAGGATACATCTATGTTCACCCTGTCATTTTTATGAGAAGCTCTAAAAGGCCTTTGATTTCATTTGTTGAGTTCTGGTCTGTTTCATGCATGTGTTGTTTTCCACCTGGACAATGATCTCTTACTCTCGTTCTTTCAGCAGGACTTTCTGGGACTCATCCAGGCGCAGCTGGAGAGCGTTGAGCTTGCTAGAGTCCTCCTCCAGGGCAGCCAGATCCTCCCACAGCAGTCTGCTCCGGTCCTGCCGACTGAGAACTGAGCGCAAGCTACTGGCACTGCGAATGTCCCAAGAGTCTGGAGCCTCTGACTTTGCCCTGAGAAGAGCCTCCAATAACTCCAACTCCTGACACAAAGAAAGAAAGACGACAAAAAAAGCAAGAAAGAAAGCAAGAATTTTGAATATCACAGTTAAAATTCTTGTGTGGGGGTGTTTATGGGGGTAGACAAATTAATTTGCTACTTGGCAGCAGCTGGCCAAAAGATGGCAATAAGGAGAGGTTGCGTGACATGCCTTCATCCTCGAAGACCATAAGCAAAATTGCATAAAGAAAACTGAACCCAGACTAAAACATTTAGGAGGTCTTTTACAAACAAGGATAAACAATGAGAGCCTAATATTTTAACTTAAAAACATTTTTAAAAACATTTTTGTTTAGTTTTGTACGATAAACAATTCTCATACTGTGTTGACTTGCCAATGTACAACCTAGGTTGTGAAGCGAAACCAGCTGAGAACTGCTGCCATAATCAATGTTCCAAGACAAAGAAAACAAATGAAAAACATAATAAAAAAAAACAAAACAAGACTTTCATGTTTTCTTTTTCTCCTTATTAAACCAAACAACAGAAGAGGCATTTTCTCTGTCATTCACATAACAAATATCACATTGCACCTTTTCCTTATTTCCTGTGTGCATGAATGAAATTCACAAGCTCTTTGGAGAAGTAATAAAAAACGGCTTTACAGTTCAATGCACCATCCTTCCTCTTTCCTTCCTACACACAGTAGGGATTACATATCAAAGACATGGGCCTCAGGAGACAGAAATGAGACACGAAACATGCTGCGATCCCAGAACGGCCACAGTTGAGTAACTGAGATAAAAGCGCAATGACACCTCCCTGCCACCAGGAGGAACTAAACGCATACTAATACAGATAGAGTTCTACATGTGGAAGCACTCAGCATGCCTGTGTGTGGAAACAGATCAGGAAATGGGATGGTATCAAACAATCCAGTGAGAGTCAGACTACGCTAACTATTATTTATTTCCTTAGCTAAGATTGAATGAGGAAGCCCGATACTACTATAAAAAGGTGGATATTTCTGTGCTGAATAATAAAAAAAGCCCAAACCAGTTTTGCTCTCAGCAGGTAATTGTCACTGTTCAGTGTTCACAGGAGTCTGAGAGTCTTTAGCTATCTAGGATACCCCCTGTTGATATCCGTGCAGAAATATACATCCATCATGCTTGAGACTCTGAAGGTCAGTTTTGACACTGACATTAATTCTTCCTTGCCTCTCTCTGCTGGTGCGCTGTGTTCACATCTATTTGCCAACCAAAAAAAAAGAGGTGCATGCTAATACGCACAGCAGACTAAACCACATTAGTGTGAGGGGTAATTCTCTTGAAAGATTAGTTTAAAATGCATTAAGGAAATAACAGATGCTCAAGCGAGTCTAGGAATGAAAATGGGGTTTCTGGGTTGTGGGAACTGCTGCAGTACCCCTGGCTGTGGCCCCATGGGTAAAACACATAGGGGGTTGTGCCGGGAGAGGGGTGGTTCTAATAATAGCACAAGCAAAAAGCACAGAGTCAGGTAATGAAATCACAGGGAAATGCACTGAACCAGGTCTGTGGCTGACCTATTTACAACTGTCTACCTGTGTCCAGAGTGAACAGCCTCGGTTATTCTGTAGGTTTGTTGTGTGGTTTGAGTGTCTAGCTTTTAATCATGTATCGTTTTAAAATGGTATCATTCTAACTAGGTGTGACAAGTTTTCACATCATATTATATTAGAAAGCGTTTTCTCACTAGCACTTTTAGTGCACACCCAGGTTCATTTGATGTCAGACTTCGGTTCATTTAGATGACGTGAATGCCATTTTCCGAATATGGGTGCGCATCCACAAAAAAGTGACCTGAGGTACTAGAGAACTTTTTAGTACTGTTCGCTGCTGCTATGATCACAATCTTACTCAATTGCAGAAGTGAAACGCAAAGCATGATTTCATGAAATGTTATTTATGTGTGTGTTCACATTATTAACAATTAACAACTGCATTTACTTACAGGTGCGAGTCTCTAAATGCACTATTCACATAGCCTGCTTACAATAGTGCCTCAAAGAATTTCTATATGGACGAGTAAACAAAGTCAAGCTGTATTCTATTTGTGACTATCACCTAAAACCACTAAAGTGACTAAAGTAATAACCATGGTAAAGTCCATTAAACTGAAAAGTCTAATCACATTTGAAATGACAATTCCAGTTGAGGTGCGAGTTAATCTGCCAAATCTTGGAAGGGAGCTGAGCATTTGAGCATCATATGACACACAGCTCATATCTGCACCTCTGTAAGTTTCCAAAACCACATGTAGCACATGTTTTTTGCTCCATGTAGCTGTTTTTGAGTGTCAGTTTGGGGTCAGGTGAATTACCAGGCAACCCACCAACTAGTCCTTTCTGAAAATATGCAGTTTAACACTCACCTTCTGCTTGTCTGGTTTGTCAGTGTCTACATCTCTCACAGGTTCCTGCTCTATAGAGCCTGGGCCATCTCTCACGTTCTCCTCATCCTGGTTGTCCTGCTTGATGTCTGGTTCCCGTGGCTGGTTGGAGTGTGTGGAGGCAGTTGAGGAGTTGGATGCTGGTGCAGTGGAAGCATTCGCTGGGGAGTTCTGTTCAGCTCGGACTCTTTGGGCCTCTAGGCGCAGTTGTTCGTTTTCGGCCGCCAGCTCTTGACGCTCTCGCCGTGCCCCTGTCAGTTCTTTGGTAAGGGCATCCAGACGTTGTCTCAGCTGCCTGACCTCATCCCGTGCCCTGTTGCGTTCGGCCCGCACTTTACTCCACTTCTCCCTCCAGTTGGCCGTGCAGTCCGACCACCAGCGCATCGTCTTCTCCATCTGAGCCGCCCGCGCCCGAGCCTCTTCCAGCTCACGCAGACGCAGCTCCTCGCGGCTCTCCCAGTCCCCACCGCCATCACAGCCCAGCCCTGGAGACAGCAGCAGAGGAGGGCTGGAACTCGGCGTTCCCCCTGACGGGCTGGGCGTGTGGGTCAGGCTGTCCGGGGAGCGCACCCGATCCGGGCCCAGGCCCAGGCCGCACAACAAGCCCGCCCCAGACTTGGCGGCCTCTGTCATGTGGGGACTGGGTGTGTGGTTCATCACTGAGCCAATGATGAGTCCAGGGAAAGAGAAGATAGTGGTCAGGAAGATCTGATCAGGAAGCCATGATCCACATCAACATGATGGTTTTCTGTGAAGCAAGAAAAAGAGGGGTTTAGAAAACAACTGAGAACTTCAAAATCCTGTCACAAAACATTATAACAGTCACAAAACATTATAAGGATCAATAGCAATAATAGAGTCTGTGGGGGGAAAATTTTAAAAGAAAAAAAAACTATTATTCATATGGTTTCTGAAAAAAAAAATTAAACCATTTTCAAGAAAAGTTTAAATCTTCATGGGAGGCAACAATCAACTAAAGTAAATGGGACAGGACGACTGCACCTTATTGAGGGGAGGATGGATGGGGCCATGTATTGCGAGATTTTGGGCAACAAGCTCCTTCCCTCAGTAAGAGCATTGAAGATGGGTCGTGGCTGGGTCTAAGGCTGGGCAACTAAGGAGCGGCTCCGTAAAAAGCATTTCAAGGTCCTGGAGTGGCCTAGCCAGTCTCCAGACCTGAACCCAATAGAAAATCTATGGAGGGAGCTGAAACTCCATGTTGCCCAGCGACAGCCCCAAAACCTGAAAGATCTGGAGAACACCTGTATGGAGGAGTGGGCCAAAATCCCTGCTGCAGTGTCTGCAAACCTGGTCAAGAACTACAGGAAGCGTCTGACCTCTGTAATTGTAAACAAAGGTTTCTGTACCAAATATTAAGTTCTATTTTTCTATTGTATCAAATACTTATTTCATGCAATAAAATGGAAATTAATTATAAAAAAATCATACAAGGTTATTTTCTGGATTTTTTTTTTTGATTCGGTCTCTCACAGTTGAGGTGTACCTACGATGAAAATTACAGATCTCTCCATTCTTTGTAAGTGGGAAAACTTGAAAAATCGGCAGTGTATCAAATACTTATTAGCCCCACTGTCCATATATATATATATACATATATATACACACACACACATATTTTTTCATCTATGTATGCATTTATTTTTAAAGTATTTTTTTAAACAAATGTCTGAAGGTTTTTGGAGAGTCAACTACTTGGGGTTTTCTTTTTATGGTTTATTTCTTTTCTTTTTAATAATTTTCTTCACTATGACATCAGTATAACTCTGGCATTTTTATTTTATGAGCAATAAAAAAAAATTATTTTTATTTTTAAATAAAATAACAGACAAGACAACAAAAAAAAGAACCAAGACTGGCTCTGAAAACCAGAATACATATAAAGTCAGTAGATGACAAAGACATACAGGAGCAATGAGAGCAAACAAGAGAAAAAGAACTCCATCAACATGTCAGTGCAACATGGCCAATAACATTGACATTGTTGAACAATCCAAACCACACCATGACAATTCAGTGCAGTTCTGATTTACAAGTGCTCTCTCTTTCTCACACTCCCACACACAGGCTGTATTTACTTAAAAGACTGCAGGGTGACAAAGGAGGAGGTTCCAAGGTCAAAAAGCTTCAGTCAGAGCAGCCAGCATCTCTCATCGGCTGTGAGGAGAGAGTTACAGCCCTACAGCTTATGGGAGTAGGACCTTGTGTTTGTATATGTAAAAAGTGTGAGGCTGTTTTTCACAGTGCGCTGGCTTTGGTGAACAATGATTAGATGTATTATATATTTTTTTTAAACAGCCCTCTATGTGACTGAGCATGTCGTCTGTCTGAGCCAAAAAATGTCTCTAGGAAAACATCATGTGACAGGCAAAATGTGCTTTACAATTTAGGTACATGTACTATTACATGCAGACATGACCAGTAATCATTTATCTTAAGCAGTCCGTTCCAGAATTAAAGAAATGTTGTCATTGTTTGACACCTAAAATGGAAGTCTATGAAAACAAATTTGTAAAGCAAAATATAATGGACTGAACATTTTGGGAAAATCTGAAAACTTCTGGAACTGAATTTTGGAAGGTACACTCTAAAAAATGCTGGGTTGTTTTAACCCAATGTTGGATCAAATATGGACTAACCCAACTGTTGGGTTAAATTTTGGTTACATTTTTAAATGAGCTTTTTAACCCAACAGCTGGGTTAGTCCACATTTGACCCAACATTGGGTTGAAACAACCCAGCATTTTTTAGAGTGTAGGCTAAATATTTATTATGCAATCTTGTAAATGGCAAAATGATATGTGAAATGCATAAATATACAAACACGTTAAATTGCAGCCCCCAAAAATTCAAGTTCTCTGAATGTTTTTTTTAATCTTCGTAGTTCCAAACCATTGCATGTTTATTTTAGTATGAAAGAATTTTGTCATTAATATACGTCCATATACATGGTACTGATGTAATTCCTGTGAGTTATTTTTCTCTCTCTACGTAAATAGTCCCCTTCTTGTATTATGCCAAAGTTACACAGTTTACTTTCTTTGCATGTTCATGACAGAATTTTGGATAAAACTTTGCTTGGACAACGTCAGTAGGTGATTTTATCTTAGTAGTTTAACAAAAACCATGTATAATGTTTAGTTTTTTTTTAACCTAAACTAAAACATTTATTTTGGTGCAAAGTCTACCTCCATAGATTTCCCTTATAAGAGCAGTACAGTAAACTGTGGCACTAAGCACACACACATACACCACTTTTCAAACCCAGAGGAGGTTCACGGGTGGGGCCTGTGGCTTTGGGAACTGCCGACTTGTGCATTAGAACATACACTCTAAAAAATGCTGGGTTGTTTCAACCCAATGTTGGGTCAAATATGGACTAACCCAACTGTTGGGTTAAAAAGCTAATTTAAAAATGTAACCAAAATTTAACCCAACAGTTGGGTTAGTCCATATTTGACCCAACATTGGGTTGAAACAACCCAGCATTTTTTAGAGTGTAGCGGGGCAAGAAACAGAGGCATAGGCTCCTCATAAAACACTACTCATACAAAAGCCCCCTTTTTATGAGCTCAGCTGGAAAAAAAAATGTCGAGACTATTAGGTTTGCTGCAAGCAGGGCGGGTGCACAAGGGTTTTGGTGGCAAACAACAGCAACTGCTGCCACTGTGGGTCAACAGGACAATAAATCAGTATCCTGGATCAACATATCAGCCCAGACTACATAGTATAGTCTAAATGTCAGTGGGTGTCTCTTTTGTGAGCTACAGCGGATATGTTGGGAGGCAAAGCAGTGTCATGCCAATGAGCTCTTGCAAGGATGTGAAACAGGATAAAAAAAAAAGTGCTAGTGAGAAAACAGGAGAAAGAGGCAGAGAATTTTAATTAGCTCCAGAGGCTTTCACGGGAGATCCTGATTAACCTTAATGATGCAATCTGAGCAGCATCTCCAGCAGAAACATGAGCAGCATGGAGAGACAAGTGGATGAAGAGAAAGAGGTGAGGAAAGAGTGAGAGCGGGGAAAATGTGTAACTGGAACCACTGCAATACTGCTGACAGCTAGAAGAAAGAGCAGTTGATTTAAAAAGAAGAGCAAAAACTTGCTGAAAAGTGACAGATTTGGTTGAAGGTTGAGGCTTGCCTTTTGTCTAAAGCAAAAAAAGTAAACTTATTCCATCCTTGGGAGGATTTCATGAATACATCTTTAACAATAGGGGGAAAAAAACATGCTTTCAATACACACACACTTGCAAGTTCAACAACAACAACAAAAAAATCTAAAACATTAACAGAGGATTCTCTCTTTCCACAGTATTCAGCTATAAGGTCAGCATGGGTTTGATGCTGGTCTAGCAAAGCGTAGCTGATAAAGGTGGTTGAAAGAGGTTTATCTGGCTAGTCAAGCTTGTTAAGCCTGGTGGGGACACCAGAATCATATGCTACAGACTTCAAACCACAACATATGCAGGAGACTTTTAAAGGGGTCATATGATGCTGCTAAAAAGAACATTATTTTGTGTAATTGGTGTAATGAAATGTGTTTATGCAGTTTAAGGTTAAAAAACACATTATTTTCCACATACTGTACATTATTGTTTCTCCTCTATGCCCCGCCTTTCTGAAATGCATTGATTTTTACAAAACTCATTGGTCTGAAAAAGCGAGGTGTGCTCTGATTGGCCAGCTATCCAGTGCGTTGTGATTGGCCGAATTCCTCAAGCGTGTGACGGAAATGTTACGTCCCTTACCATATTGTGATGCCTGCGGCAACCACATGTGACGACCCCGGGCTGGACTCCGCTTCGTCCACAGTGAAAGCCGATCCGGCGATCGACAGTGCGAAGTTGAAGTATTTCCTCAGCGACCAGCATGGATCAGCTCCAGGCATGACGAAGCGATATTGTCCTCTTTTGGAAGGCCAAACAAAGTAGTTTCGCTTTCACAAGGATGCACACAGCGCCTTCACGACATGGCAGCAGCGGCAACAACTATACTACAGCGAGAATAAAAGTTACGCCTTCTTTCTTTGCGTGAACATTTGGGCAGCGTTATGCAAATCTTCCCACATAGTGACGTAGGTATGTGGGGGCGTGTTAGAACGAGCCGTTTTAGGTAGGCGTGGTCGATGCTTAACTTTTATAAAGAATATCTCTTTGGATTTGAGACTTTAGTCATCTAGTCATCTTCTTTATGCACCAAGAGCTTGTAACACTCCAAAGAGAAAGGAAAAATTGAAATGGCATCATATGACCCCTTTAACAAAGAATTAAAAATCTATGACATAAAGGTAATTTTGCTTTATTGAACATGCTGTTCAAAATTCAAATACACTCAAGCAGAGTTAAATTGAGAAACACTTGCCTAACATATGAACAGATCATATTTAAAGCAAAACTACAAAGCCAGAGGTTAATTATGAACTGCATTAGAGGATTGAATGGTTTCCATCCTGCCACAACTATTTTCCCCAAAAACTGCTCCTTATAGGCTAGTGTATACCCTCAACAGGAAATCCTAAAGCCACAAATTTGCTGTCATCAGTTTGATTCACCATTGAACCAAGTTGACTCGCCCATTTCAGGTCATATTTCACTGCCAAAGAAACATCTGGAAGCTCACAATACCCTTTGCCAAAACAGAACGTGGCTGACAGGCATAATGGAGTGTATACAAAGGCTAGTTCAGCTTAAGCACGAAGCAATCGATTAGAATCTTTGCCAAGACAAAAT